TAGAAAAGATAATGCTAAGCAGCAGCAATACCAGATTTATTCACTTCATTACCAAGATCGTGCTGTTCCTGTTACAGCTGAAATGTATACAAATATTTGCTGTTTCCTTTTAAAAGAATAGATCAAATAATATCATTCTTGTTGTAAGTATGTGGTGTGGTCCAGCATTAATGCAGGAGCTTCTAAACTTGGACAGTCTATTCAGAGCATCTCCTGGGCCTTTACTCTCTCCATCCCAGTCCTACAGCAGCACATCTCACCCACTGCTGATTGCTCAAAGCACTGTGTTTTAAATATCACTCAACACAGTTTGGAGTTGGAAAAGGAAAAAGGACTATCCAGCCCTCTAACAGACATCAGGCAAATGTCTCACAAATCTTACAGGCTCGAGAAACCCTCACCTGTTTAGAATTAGAAACCATTATGGCCCATGAAAACTTAAAACACAGCCAGGATTTCATACTTTATGTTGTCCTGGCTGATGTGCTTTATAAATAAGGAGAACAAAAATGCTAAAATGGGCTATTTACCACCTTAGGAGACCAAATAAATGTATTTCTGCTGATGCTCTGAAATATAACATCAAGTTTAATAGCTTTTGACTGGGACGGGATTTTCATACGAGTATTATCAGCATAGCTAAAAGGAAATCTTATCACTCACAAATAGCATTAAGGCACACGTCAGAGGGTTCACACCACGCAGGGTGTGCGCAAGTACAAGATATACAAGGGTACAAGATACAAGACCTCAACTCCCCCCAGGCTTTCTCCAAGAAAAGGGTTCATTTTCTGCAGGAGGACAGCTCAACATCAGCCAATTTTGTTTTCTTCCCTGTTATTTTCTTTTTTTTTTTTTTTTTTTTTTTTCCCCACAGTGCCAACGAGGATGAAGGAGGAATTATTTTAAAGGCCAGTGATCCAACATGTATCACCTCCAGCTCTAAAATCCCAAAGACAAGGAGCGGAGAGACCTCGCTGGGGGCAGGAGATCTCTGCGTAAGCCACTTATGACACAGAGTTTATGCAATTCGGTGCTAAAACGCTCAGGGCTGGAATCTGTCCTGCAGATGTTACTCTGGAATGACACAAAACCCCCACCGGGCTGCGAGTCCCAGTACCTTCGTCAGCAAATGATGGACACGGAATAGAAGCAGATGCAGCAAACGCTCCACACAGAGATCCTGTTGGATGGAGTTGATGTAAATCTAACCGAGCAAAATGTTTTGGAACAAGCGAAGGGAAATGCTGGATGCTGTTACAGGGGGGTGTGACACCAGCATTGTCAGCCCCAGTTTGAGGCACCATAATGGGGACAGGGGTAAGTGGGAAAGGGAGAAGCTCAGCAGTGCTGGTGTTCATGCCCCTCCCTCAGCCTTTTGCTGCAGAGACAACTGGATTAAATTATCGTAGAATGAGGATTTGGGATTATGGAGAAACAGAGGCATCAACAGTTTTCATTTCTCCACCACAATTATTTATAATGATATGGGAAAAAGAAGAGTAAAATGGATTCAGCAAACTAGGAATGAGAGACAAACCACAGGATCCAGCACTAGCCATACTTTCCATGGCAAGGCACTTCAGCCTGTTGTACCACCTCCAGAAGCAATGTTTGCAATCCTGGGATGTCTAGCATCTCTCATCTGATTCTATTCAGGTGATTCTTAATTATATGACAACAAGAGAGTTATCAAGGCTTTTATGTTTAGATTATAGCAGCCCTTTTCCCTTCCCACACAAATAGGTTGACTCTGTTTTGCCAAAGCAAAATGAACAAAACAAGACACTGCTGTGACATCCCAGGAACAAAATCTAACAGTAAATCACCCTTGGTTCCATGAACAGCATGGAAAGCTGTTCTACAGTCAACCAAAGCAAACTGCAGATGTCAGCTTGTTCACTGGTAATCCTGCTGAAAAGTAACCCAAAGAGCTGCATTAGCATTCACTAACTTGCTCTGACAGTGGCTTTGCTAAAGAATCACTGGACAAAATGGGCGAACGTGAAATGCTCCAAATTGAAGAAAACGAAGATAAAACAGACTTGTTTAAACCTCCAAAATAAGGCAGCCAGCGCTGTTCTCCATCCTCGTGGGGCCATCAGGCAGTCTGCAGAAGCACTCCTAGAAATGTAGCATTTTTCACTCTTCACAAGCGTCTCTCTGCTGCAGACATCCCTACTGCTGATGTGATGTTGGCAACGGGAGCACTTTTTGAAACAGCAATCCCATATCCCTGGCTTTTGTTATTCACTCTGAAATTAAATAATTCAGCTTTTAATATACTGGAGTGAGGAGTCTTCCCAACTGTCAGACCCAATATGTGCTACAGAAGGTTTTAGCCAAAATACGGATTTAAAAAAACCCAAAAAAGGCAAATTTGAACTCTGAGTGCCAACAGATGGATGAGTTACTCTCTTGAGACAGGAACTAAATTATGGACAGTCAGAGGGAGGTCAGTGAGACAATCGTGCCTCTGCACTGTTAGGCAACACCTCTGACTCTGCCACTCTACAAACTCTGCCCTTACCTCAAGCTGTGCCTCCTTCCCGCTGAGCTGGACTGTGCCTCCATCAAAATTACCCTTCCTCTCCTCCCAGGGCTTCCTCTGTAATTTTCTGCTCAAAGTCAAAGGAAATAACAAAGCCAGGGCTGCTCTCCAGCCTCCCCCAGTTATTGCTGCCCCCTCCACAACAGCTCAGTCCCCAGTCTTCCCTCTTCCCAGCAAAGCCACGTTGCCAGGGATCTTCCCAGCTGACTTCTCCTCCCAGCTTGAAGGATTTCCCCCGACTGGAGGCATCTGCAGGCAGGAACATTTGGGTCTTCGTTACTTCCCTCTGCCATCCTCCCAGGGATTTTCAGGTTTACACAAAGAATAGCCACTTCCAGGGCCAGCATAAAACACTTTAAGCAAACTCAAAGACGTCACAAGAAAAGGTTAATTCTCTCATTTCCAGTCCTGAGGCAATATTCTCTCTCTCTTATGTTCTACCAGCCTTTTTAAACTCTGCGAGTTCCAGGGAAATGGGTGGAAGATGTGGAAATCCTATTGCAAAAGCACCTGCCCGCTCCTTTCCCCAGAGAGCCACACACAGAACATTCTATTATTTAGTTAATTGCAAAGAAACAATTACAAAGGAACTTGGCAAACTCTCTCTAATCACAGCAAGACCTACTTGCAGTCCAGTAAGTTCAGCAAATTAGCAAATAAGTGAATATAAAAAGGAAAGAATCACACAGCTCAAATTGCACTTTGTTCGTTTGTTTTGTCACTCATAGTTTCTGTTTAATTATTTAAGGTATTTCTTCATAACATTCTGGTACATTTTGTATAATAATGAAGGTTTACTAGCATGGAAATGCAATACGTGGCTATTAAATATGTGCCGAGAGAGAGGGAAGAAAACTGCCAATTCTGTGAGTAAATTATAGAGAGCCTGCTCAGGAAAAATTTCCAGGTTAGATAAATAGAAGGTTCTGCCAAAATTTGTGCAAGATCCAAATAAGGATTACTGCTAGATAATGGCAATGCTAAGCAATGTTTGTGCACAACGTTGTACTACAGGCATTCATGCTCAATCCCATTTATTAAGAGCTATTCTAATTTTCCATGCATATACCTGGGGGCCATTCAAACACAGCCTTTTTAAAAGCAGCACTGTAACCAAGTGACAGATTTTACAGTACTTCATCCCTGAAGTCACATTGCAGCACAAACCTTCAAGCTCTGTTACATGAGTGAAGCAGAGCTGATGGGCTGAGGAAGGCAGAACAGTGAGATCCAGGTGTGGGATTATCTGGCCGATAGAGAGGGAAGTAAGACAGCCCTTGACAATGGACATGATGTCCCTCCTGGTTCTTCCCGGACCATTTTGAGCATCAAGATTTTATGACACATCTGTTCACACTACCAACAAGAGAAGCCCTGAAGGGGCTGATGTGGTACCTGGCACAGAGTGTCTGTGAGGAGAGTTGGCAAAATCCTCCCGAACAGAAGGGGAGCTGTTACAGTCTCAGCAACACCTTGGGAGAGGAAGTTTGTTCATACACAGCTCTAGAGAAGGGAACAACACAAACGCTGTCCTGGAGACCAGTGGGAACTCACACACTCTCAGATTTGAAAAAGGTGGTTGGGAAACTGGGGAGGACCGGCTGTGGGAGGGGCAAAGGGGAGCAAGTTAATCAGTGGACTACAACAGAGTGTAATTAGTCAGAACATAGCAACACTCGCCCTTCAAGGCTATTCCTTTGTGCACAGCAAGCACAGAACAAGTGCTAAAAGCCACATATAAGCAAGAGCCACATGCCTAACTCACACCTGTAAACAGGGCAAACTTTTGGAAGGTGATATCAGTGCCGCCTCTACCAGCAGAGAAGCACTTCAGCAAACATTAGAAGGAAACATCACAGGAACTGATGCAGCACCTGACCAACAACCATGCCTGAAAACCCTCCTCTAATAACCTGGAGTTTAACATGGACATTTTGCTCTTTGCAGGTCTCAATTATGCTCATCAAATTAAACCTTTTTTTCCCCCCTTAAAAGTTCATATGGGAAAGCAATTCATCAGCTGACAAACCTTCCATAAGCAGATGCTGCAAAGCTTGCCAGAGTCAAGGGCATTCTGACTTCAGATGAAGACAAATTATGATTTAATACAACTGTGAACATTTAATTGCTTTCAACTGAATTCAAGACTAGTCTGCTCCAAGAAACTGTATCAAAACTTTTCTATTCACGCCTCATGGATTATCTCCAGTGTTTAGCATTTAAAATTTGTCCCAAGAAATCCAGAGAATATGTCAGTAGAGCAGAGAAGGAAGACTGAAACAGTGAAATTAGTTAAGATATTCATCAAACACAGATTACTTCATCTTGTGCTCTTATAGCTGTTTTAGTCCTGCAACAAGGACTCTGCTTGACAGGAAGGTGCAAAGTGAAAGCAGGAACTACCAGCAGAGGCCAGAGGGGCAATGCAAATACAGCAACCACAAACACATCACCTGTTTGTATATACAAACTTTATTTCAAAATTCAACCATTAGGGGTAAACACATTGCAATTGTTTTAGCTTTTCAAGGATCCCAAAATAAGTTACATAAAATACTTGCACAGTTCTAAATATTGAAAAGGTCATAAAAATTAACGGTGCTCTCATATGCCAAGATTATTCCTTTTCCATTTTGACTACATTGAAAGTTGCCTGTGCAGGGATTATTTTATAGCTATGCAAACAACCATAGTTTTCATGTCTTGATGCCTCAGTGGAGACTTACAGGCAAAGGCACTTAAGGGCAAAAAGAGATCAAGAGAGATAACGTCCCATTAAAGTCCAATCTTTATACTCACACACATCTCTAGCTAAACACTGCAAAAGTTTTTTAAGTTGGAAACATTATTCCATACCAACAGAATGGGAAGTGTGCTTTTAGGTTACATAGGTTACAGTGGATTTTAATTTTAATTCAAAACCTTGATGCCCCCACAAGGTTTCCAGGGCTTTCTACAGAAAACTTACTTTTCAGAAACAGCACGTTTGTATTGGGTTTATCTTGACAGCCACACTGATTTTCACTGTCCTCAGCTCCCTGTTGAGGAAAAATGCCATTTATTCAAATAACTTTTTCTTCCATCATTGTTCCACACTTCTTCCCACAGGTGCTGGCATTCAGATAACCACAGAACACAACCTGGTGCCCATCACTCTTCCCTTCAACACGTTCCATTGCAGTGTCCAACACAACCACGTTAAAGGCTACTGGTTCTGTGGAGCTTTCTCTTCCTACTGTACCACACCAAACTCCGTGTGCAGTGAGCAAGTTGTCCTCCAAACCAAAATATTAGTTTGAAACCCACCTCAAGTAAAGTATCGGATTTTTGATACCCAGGAGATAGCAAACTCAAATTTAGTAAGCTCTAGACGTATTTTCACTCCTTCCAGAAAACGTTTGCTCCTTTTCACCCAGATCCTGTGCCTTTGGGTCATCCCAAGATATGAGCTCCCCTTTATGCCAGAAGTTGTCTGTTGACAGCCCTGCTGCTGGTCACAGGCTCTTGTGAAACACAAATCTTCCTGCTCTGTATCAACTTCCTAATTCTTTCATATTGGTCATTACAGCCCAGTAAAGTAAAAGAATGTCATCTTTATTATATTTGCTGTCTCAGTATTTCCCTATAGGATTACAGCTAGCTAGGTATTTGATATCAGTCTTGGTCCTGACACACTACATACTCTTCCCTTAATGTGTCAGTCCTCAACTCCAGTTACTCTCTCTGGAGAGATCCCTGACAGAGTCACAGCTACAGACCTGAAATATTATACACAGGCAACTCAGTACAGCTCTGCCTCCATTTAGCACAATGACCCTTCTTCTTAACATGACTTCCAGAAACAGAGGGAGACAGGTCTCAGCTTCTACCAAGAGGATTCTACTCCTTTTATTTTATATATATTTTTTTATCCTTCCTGCAGCTGACAGTCATGTGACCAAAGCACAGCCAGGAAGAATTTACCCACCGGGAGTGCAAATGACATTCTTCGGGCTGCTTTGGGTATGGAGAGCTCCCAGAACTGCCTTTGGAAACAGCACAGGCAGCATTTCCACCGATGGGATTAAATGAAATCAGCTGCATTGTGCTGCAGCCATCCAGTTTCCTCTTTGGCTGCAAGTACTGGCACAAACTCTGATAAGCCTCAGATAGTGCTTCACTGAAATCACAGAACTGAGACAGCCCTGACTTATTGGTATTCTGCAAAACAGTGGTGACTGATTTTTAATTTAAAAAAGGTGATAAAAATCTTATATTTAAGAGTGTGCTTTCTGTTTACAGGAGACTTTATTACTCTTTGATGACAAAGAAACCATTAGGGTTTCCAGCAAACCTTCACTGTGTGCATGTAAAATTGAATTCTCCTTTCAATAAATACCACGATTAAAAAAACCCGCACACATTTTAATGCTTTGGAAGGGTGTTGGTGTGACAGTACGAATTCTGCAGTCAAAAGAACAGTCTGCACAGAAGATCTGGAAAGACTCCTCTGATTACACTCTCCACAGCCCCTTAGGTCTTTGGTCTCTCCATGGACAATGCTCTTGTCAGTGTTATTTCTGGATGGAGTCCTAATTTCTGTTATAATCCAACCTACCACTTCTGTTGCCAAACCAAACTGCCTGGATTGCTTATTATGCTCATCCTAATCCACAACCCACAGAACAAAGTGGGCAGTGCCCACGCTCTGCAGCACCAGCCTGGCAGCTTCACCTGAAGACAGAAGATGGGTGGATATGTGATCCCTCCCCCAGATTCTGACTGGACTTACCCTACAGGTGGCAAAGGCAGGACTGGGATGAGATGTCAACCACAGCAAAGCAACATCAGACTTAAAAACCTCAGTGCTCCTCCCCTCAGTGCATGAGCACTGCAGTCAGGTGAACATTTCAGACAGTCCTATCTCCTATCTCAGATGGTTTCACATCTTAGAGATGACCCTGTACAATGAACTCAAATCTGTGATCTGTAGGCAGAAAGCAGTCACAAGGTTACCCTTCAAAGAACACTCCTGCCATTACCCACCCGCCCTGACAAATCCAAAAATCTGATTATGTGATCAGACATTTCAAATACAAAACATTCTATACACATCATCACAAGCACACGTGGAAAAAGCAATAAATAAGAAAAGCCAGCTGATACAGCAGGCCTAGAATGGCCCTGTGACAGAGGAGTGGCTTACAAGGTCTGCACAGCCTGTAAATGTTCAGTATAAAAATACACAAAAAAAGATATAAAATATGACAAGTAAAATTTTTAAACAGGGAGGCCCAGGTAACAAATACCAGCTGTACCCTTGCACATACACAGGCTGAAAATTGGAGTCACGTCATTAACCACTTTCTGATTACACAAATTATATTTTAGATCATCTGAAACAAAACTTTGTTTGACATGAAATAGCTTAAGGCTTTATTGCTTTCACTTAAATTTGTCAACTGAATTTATAATCCTCATCGTGAAACAAAACATTAAAGTCTTTCGGTTGAGTTTTTAAATCCAAACTCTCTGTGTACCAGGGTAAGGTTAACAGTCAGTCAGGGGCTTTTAGCCATAAAGTCTGCAGAGGTGACATCAAAGGATGGCTGAAATAATGTCAACTGTCATTAAAAAGGGGCTGCTATTCCTCCTTTTTCCATCTTTGAGATGCCTGATCTCGGTACAAACAGTTCCGTTTGAGAATCAAATAATTCAAGGTCACCAAAACTTAAAAGTGGGTGTAGCTTCTCTTCATCTGCAACAAAGGAGACACAATGACAACATCATCGGAGTCATCTGAGTGAGCTTCATCCCCGGGCAGGGCAGGAGTGGGATGTGACGGCCCCTCGGAGGACCTGGCTGAAATGATCCCAGAGGAAACAAGGTCATCAATAAACAACACTGACAAAAAACAAGCCCTTGTGTGATATTCCCTGAGCCACTGAGTTGCCAGACCTGCCCACAGGAATGGATAAGCCTGATCTATCCGTTTCTGCACAGAGCTATTCCTGTTCTCCTCAGTGAACCAGCCGTGCGTGGCAAGTGTTGGGCTGACAGACTGACCACACCTCATTTGTCTTATTGCCTTTAAATCTCTGCAAGTGGCCACACACCACCGACTGAAGCAATTTGATACTGAAGCCATCGCAGGCCATGAAACCAAATATTTATTACACGCCCAGAAAAGGAAAAATTGACCCAAGCTTAAGCTATGCAGGAAGGTAACAATGAGAATTTGAGTCACACACGGATGGAGCAAAGGGAAATGGATAAAAAAAGAGATGGAAGCTCTCAGCCACTGTCTTTCATCCTTATATCCGTAAAATACCAAAAGTATTATTCACCAGCTGCACTACTGTAATGACAATAAAACAGTGACCACACCATGGGGTTTGTTTTTCTTTTTTTTTTTTTTTTTTCTAATTTTCCTTCGTTGTCATTTTTCTGGATGTGTGTTTCTATGTGTCTCATCCATTCCAACGTGTGAAGAAATGTTCAGGGCATGAACAGATAGATCCCTAATGATTCCAGCAAACACTGGAAAACCAGAAGGATAAAATGAACCCATACAAAGTCCCTAACCCCTGAAGAGCAGAACCAGCAGCTTGCCCTCTACAAGACACCTATGAACTAAATGATGACTGCTATTAATACCTTCCAGCACAATATCCTCCCCTCAGCTATTAATACCTCCTAGCAAAATATTCTCCCCTCAGCTCCACTTACTTTTCAGTTTCAAATATAAATTATCTGAAAAGGCTCTCCCAGAGAAGAGAACTAATCTGTGGTGGATTAGAGAGAACAACCTGTGGTAGAAGGGGGAACAGGCAAGACGCCACACACTGAGATTTTGACCTGAAATGGAGGGCACACAGAGAATATTACCTGGGGACAACAAACAAGCCACGGGTCTTGTAGTGAAATAAGAGGTTCCTGACACCAGAAAAAAATCTCCTGGTATGGAAGAACAAGCACACACAGAAACTGGAATGTGGAATAAAGAAAGGGGACCACAACTGGCCCAAAAATAGAGTGACAGACAGAAAGCCTGTGAATGGCAAGGAGGAATGCAGGGAGGCCACTACACTGACCTCAACCTACAGAAGCACAGAAACACATGACTTTCTACTGACTGAAATTCTTCTCTGCATCAGTCAACAAATAATGTCAGAGCTTTTCAGGAAGCTTTATGAGACAGTAGCTCACAGAGGAGCAAAGGGAACTTCCAGAAGCAGGCACAATAACTAGAAGAAGCAACTCCAACAATAAACATATTATACATGAAATAGCTTAATATTATCCAAACCACTCCTGATTATATCCTGCTCTTGATGTCTGAGATTCTCGTCCTCATCTTCAATTTAATACACTTCAGAGACAACTTTATCTTTGTGCTTGTGAAGGTTAAGCACTGATTAGAATTAAGGCTTGTATGTAAATTCATTATGATTTCAAGAAAAGCCTCAAATGAAGTTAACAGTTGTAGCCAGAGTGGCCAGTAATAAGCAGAGAAACGCTGCCCTTAATCGAGATTGCTGTGCATGTACAGAACATATTCTTCCTTCCTGACACTCCCCTGACAGAATGAAACAAAACATCACATTTTGCAGACTGAGTAGTTAATATCTGTTCCATTTCATGGGAAACAGCAGACATGGCTTTATAAAATCTTCAAGTACTGTTCACATTCTGAAGACAAGCAAAGCAGCACTGAATGCTACACTAGATTTTTTTAATTAATTTTTTTTTTAAAGGAAAATACAGAGACATCTAACCTGATGCAAACCATGAATTAAAAGTCTGCAATGCTAGACCAGGACTATATCCAGTCAGTCTAGCAGATATATAAGTTTTTTTAAAACACATTTTTATCTTCCCCATTCCTCTCAAAATAGTGCCAAAAGGGTAGTGAAGTGAAACGACGTATTGCAATATATACAATGACTGGAAGCTTAAGATCATTGTAAGACCTAGAGGTCACAAAATGCAAGTTTGGACTTGGGACAAATGAAGTAAGAGCTTGTTCAGCTGTGTGATTAAAAGCCAAAAGAAGTTGATTGCTTAAAATCACTCAGCTGCTCAACCATCTCCTTGTCTGAAATAGTTTCCAAGCTGCAGGATGACCATGGAAATCCCAATTCACCACCAAAACCCAGTCAGGAGCTCAGAATGGCAGAGGTGGACTTTTGGTTAACTTTATTTTAAGCCACATAAATTCACATGGCAAACGTCAAAACAGATCACCAAGGGCTCACACTTCTTCAGAAAGGGAGAATTTACACCAGAATGCTCTCTTTCCTAATTTGTCTTTTGGGAGAGTTTGGTTAAACACTCCAATGCACCAGGACCAAGAAATTCAGAGAGCTTAGTGCCAGACAGTCTTTGGGCAGTTGTGCAGCTGCACAAGCACATATCCAGCATGCCTCTCCACAAGCCACTTGGATACACATTCTATCCTCATCCCAGATTTTGAAAAGGTCTCCCATACTCCTAAAATCAGCAGCAAATTTACCCTGCTTTGCTCCCAGTCTCTCCTTTTTGACAGTCATCAGCAAAGGACTGCAAGGAAGAAAGTCTGAAAGTTTATGATTTCCTCCCTATCTCCTTTAATATAAACAATTCCAAAACTTCTTCACTCATCAGTTTGTCATCATAATCTGCAATAAAACTTAGCTTTGGAGACTTCATAGCCAGACAGTGACTGTGCTCTCTTGGGATTCACACGACCGCATTTCCCGGACGAGCTTCATCTTACACCCTTCTTTGGGTCTCACAAGCACTGAGCATAATTGATTGACTCTTCCTCTTTGGGTAGAATTTCACAATTTTACTCTAGGTTTACACAGAGCATGCCAATAATGACTACTGCAGTAGAGTTCAGGCAGAACAGGGTGCTGCAGCATTTATTTTTTTTTCCTGGATACTGTCACTAGACATAATTCAAATCACTCAAAACTCAAACATCTTCAGAGAAGCAAGTACTACCTACTCCCTCACAAAGTGGAATGTGCCTCTGAAAATGGAACACGATAAAGTTTCTTAAACACATTTTCTTTCACTGAAGTGTGACCTCTGTTTTTCACAACCCCTGCAAATCTGGTTTATTCCCCATCTCCTATCTTAGAGAAACAGCCTCAGCTGCTTAAAGCATTCTCTGCTTCTGAGCAAGTCTGCAGGGACTGTCAGCTTTTCACTGACAAAAAAACAAGTCAGTGTTTCTCAGGTCACACTCAAAGTTGCTCTTTCCCCCCCCACAGCTGGTCCATTAAAGCCTAAAATATCTCACTCTGCATAGAACCAACCTTTTTCAATTTGTTTTTAACTCCTTTGAAGCTGCATGTCTGAAGCTGCCTTATCTGCAGCTTTGTTTTGCCTTTCCCACTCAGGACTTTCTAACATCCTCCTAAAAGCCTCCTTGGCTTTAACTCCATCTTCTCACAAACAGCTACAAAGAATTCAGGAAGAAAACCAAATGGCATAAGAACCATAAAAAAAAGACAGATTTTCTCAGTTTGTATTACAGTAGTATTAGTTGGCAAGGTTATCCTGGACTTCATTTTCCCCCCCTCACTGCAGCAACTGAAGACTGCTGAAAAAAACGTGACTGAACACACATGGCTGCCTAGGATGGTTCTTTACACCAGATGTCTGTCTGTCTTCTGCAGAAACTAAGTCAGGGTGGTGAAAATGCTCTCAGCTTGTCTATGGCTAAGGGCCCAAAAACGTAGTGGAAAGTACCATCCTACAGCTACAGGGATGGGAGGGCTGAGAAGGAACTAGAGAGGCAATACAGGGGAACACCATGTTCCACAAATAATTACCACTTGCACCAGAGAGACTTTCCAAACCACAGTTGTGACAAAAACACAAAGCACTGTGAGGAAGCTGGTAGTGGTACTCTCAGAGCTTTTATTTTTTTTATGTAAGGAACTGCACGTGCCAGGATAACCAACATGTTAAATTAAGCCACACACACACACAGAGTACAACTATGCACTTGCACATGTGTGTGCATGTGCAGATGTTGTCCATAAAACTGTGTGTGCACCCACTCAAAACACACCCCCTTTTGAACACAGGGAAATGAGATTACCAGGAAGAGACGACGGGAGGACTGAAGGAGGTTTCTGGAGTGCTGCTGACACCGGTTTCTTCTCTGTGTTGTAAACTGCAGAATCTGCTTTCTCACTCGGTGCACTGGGCACAGAAGACCTGCAAAGAGACACACTCATAGTAAGCAAATCACTGCACTCTGCCTGAGCTAAGCCATTTAGTCATTCTAGCTTGCCCCTGGTCTGCCTCCACATAACTCTTAACTTGTACATGTCGGGGCTTCAGATTCTTATATTAAGCAAGTGTGCTAGCAATCTGTTTGATAGCAACAGTAACATGGTTTTTTCCAGAGAGTGATTATTTTACTTTACTTTTACTCATTGCTATGGAAGAGAACATGCAGCAGGATATGGGAAGACTCCTGCTGCCATAAAATTCCTTTTAGTTGCATGCCCTTTGAATTTTCTCAGGAGCAAGCTCTCCCATGTCTTTGTTGTAACAACGGCCTCGTTCACCTTCTCTGCCAAGGAACCCACACCAAAATTCTATCAAACAAGTTCTCCTCTCTTGCAGTAAAACCAATTTTGCTACTGCATGTTGCAGAAATATCTACTCCTCACTTACCTCTCCTCAAGCAGAGCTGTACGTGCTAAGTGAGCCCTGAAAATGGACTGAATGAACGTCACAACCTCATCTCTCTCCTCGCAATCAGAGGACGAGCTCAAGGAGTCTGACATGGAAGACAAGCAGGAGTTCTGCAAAGCAATCAGATTAAAGAAAACTGACCTTTTACAGATTGCACAGAAGCTTGACAGAACCTTTCACAATCTTACTCCTGATTGTGAAAGTGGCAGCAGAACAAACATTCCCATCTTTTGGTCTGCAGTCTTTAAGGTTCTGTAAGACTAAATCAGCAGGAAATGCAAATCTGATCATCATGCAAGCTTTGAAGCACGAGCATTCAATTAATGAAAGAGCAGACACCTGCAAGGAAAGTTCATTTATTTTCCAGGAAGGAAACCTTTTGAAGATGAAGGAGGTAAGGCAACCTTCATAATGGATTTATCTTCTGTGTGTATCAAGCAAAGTATTCAGTCCTACTACACGGGGTCAGTTTGCCAAAATAAAAGAGCATGTAAAGTGCAACCAGGTGGACAACCTGGATGGAGAATTACAAATTAACTTTGGCCTGATAAAGGTCCAAAGAATGTTTATATAAATTGGCAAATCATTTACAGAAACTGAATGTTTAATTGGGTAAGGAAATTTTTTCATATTCAGAACTAAGTAATCTGAAGCAAGCTGACCATGACAGAGGACACCAAGTATTTGGTTGAGCATGGCACACCAAGACTCCTTTATTTTTCAATCTAATCAAAGACACTTTTCAGATTCTTATTTCTGAACTTCCGTGACAAAAGTTTATCTGTTACTACAGTGATCCAGTGGTGAACACTTGACAGCAAGTAGGGTTTTCAATATCGCTCTGAATTAAGGAGTTAAAAGGTGCATTATTAGCTGATGGGAGAACCAGAAAGAAAAAGAGACCCAGTTACAGTCACAACACTGAGAATTCATAGCTTTACTTCAGAGGAAAAGTGAGAACTACAGAAGGTGAAAGGGAGCCCATGGAATGAGCTCAGCATCCTTCTGGAATTACAGTGGTGTTGCCAACCAACACATTAAAACAACATCCCCAAGAGACTCAGAGAGTTAAGCCTGGAAGTTCAGTCCTTCACACTGCAAACTAAACACAATGGGATGTTGGGATCCCCATATGCCCTATAATTACCTTGCTGGGAGATTTTGCTTCGTGGATCCCGTTATTCAGCAACAGTTTCTGTCGAGCTAAATGTCCCCTGAGAGCCGCCTGCAGCACCACAACTGCCTAGCAGGGAGAGAAGGAAGTAGATGTTAACTCCTTGGAAAGATAACCCACAGGCACACACCTCTGGGGTCACCTCCAGGGTTTAAATTCCATCTGGGAGGTGCTCACAATCGATCCTATCAAATGCAAGGAAGTTCCAAGTGCCAACTCCAACCAACACAGCAACCTGCTCCCATTTCCATATTAGACTCTGGCTGCCCACTGGGCTCTGGGATGCTCTGGTACCATCAAAAAACCAAGCCAAGGCTGGCAGACCATTGTGGTGATAACACTGAATGTAAGTCTTTCCCCTCCACTCAGAGTTTACTGGGTTGTGATCAAGAAGAAGCATTCAGATGTAAAGACTAATTTCTGAAAGTGGGATTTTAAATGTTCTGGAAGAAACAAATGTAAGATGCCACATTGGGCTATTGGAAAAAAACAGTTTAATCAAAACCTCTCTGCCAAACATTTTTCAAGAAGTGACTTTGTTTGACAAACTTGCCAATTTCTTCATAATACTCCCAGACGTTTCTCCTTAGCAAAAACTTCAAATCTTTCTGAAGACTCATCACAGTAAAAGTTAAAGCATTATTAGAATTATCTAGTTTGGAAAAAAAAATCCTGTCTGTTGGTATCAAAATTCTCAGAAGCACATTCATCTTGCAGTAGGTACTAAGTAAGGAAAATCTGAGACCAAAAGGGAAACACTGACAAGATGTATGAAACAAAACCAGGATGTCAGAAGGAAGATTATAAGCCAGCCTGAAGAACAAACATCACTGTGGTAAAACATCTTTGAAGTTATTTGTTTGCTCTTTGATACAAATTAAACCTGTTGTACTGTTTTGTTGGGTGTAAACAGACTCACCTCATCCAGAGCAACTTCTTCTTTCTGAAATGAAAGATGCCCATGTTAATGCCACAAATATGTATGACAAATATATATATATATATATAATATTCCCCAACAATTAAAACACACAGAAAATACCTGTTCCAACCCTCCCAAAAACCTCAAACAACAAACCTAAGGAAAAAAAACAACCCTTTTTATCTTTTAAGATATGTGGACAGATGCTAAAGAGTAAAGTTCAGGGGGGGGATGTCCTCGCTGCTCCCTGTTAGGACAATCTCACCTTGGTTTTGTACATCTTCCAGTGTCTCTGGATGATTTTGGCTGCTTGTTCTTCCCTGTGATCTTCTTTGCCTTTAACTGTGCAGACTGGTGAAGGCTGCAAAGGAGAACCTTAAAGTTAGTACAGTAAAGACACAAAGCTGTGAGGGAGACAGGTTAGTAATGACTCAGGAAAATCAGCACCAGAGTTCATCCTGCCTGCAGGGCAGAAGGAAGTTCAAGAGGAAACTCTTAGTTCTGAACCCTGCTCATGCTCAAACTCATCATCCAGATGACTGTTCCAGTGAAGCACATTCCTGCCCCCCTTTCAGCCCTTAGCAGAGCATGGGAATGGAAAAGTTCTCATTTCCACATACTCCTATTTTTCTGTGCATTGCTAAGGCACGGCTAACCCACTGCTTTGTTGATCAGAAATGGTTTGTGTGTTATGAACAGACTGAGAACAAATGTCAGGTTACCTAATTTTGCAGTTCTCCAGGAAAGACAAGTATTAATTAACGAGGGAATTCTCTAATGTCTCATCCTGGCAACTGTAGCCCCATAATTATCTGCTTAAACTTACTGATTAGTTGGCCTTGTCTGACACTGAGCAAACAGAGGGCTTTGTGTAAGCTGGCATAACTCTACTCTTCTATCCTGAAGAAATTAATTAGAGGACAAAGAAAGAAACCAAGAACAAACCAAGATTTTGTTCCAGTTATTTCTTCTGAGGTGTTGTCGTATATTCCACCTGTCACCATTTGATCCTTTTGATCCCTAATTATCCCACCCTAATTGTCAGACCTCACTTGCCAAACAAAACTTAGCTGCAAGTTTAAGAGACTACTTCAATTTAATGGTGTAAAATTTTAAACAGAGGAACAAGAGATTTTATAGACTCTAAAAAAACCTCTTAGTTCCCTGAAAAGGATTTATTTATAACCTAAAAACACTGAGTTACAGGCTTAAGTTCAGCAAATGGATCATGTCATATTAAAAATGACAACCTACTATTAAAATGAGAAATTGGTAGGAACTTAGTGATAATTACAAATAATGGGAACATTTCAATAAATGGATGGTTACTGGCCAAGAATATATATAGTCCACAGAGGAAAAAAGGAGCTGTTTGTTGGCTGTTTTTAAAGACTCAAGTTATTTGGTATTCAAAACATCCTCTTGCATCCATCAACCTATAACACACAAAAAAAGAATCTAAAGAATTGCACAGCATATCAAATAACAGAACCCTCTTAAGCAAGTGGACATTTTTATTCATGTTTTTTACTACGTGTATTTCAGGGTCTATTTATTTTTGAGTGCAATCAAAATCCCCAGTAATAATTTCCCAGTAGTATTTAGTGAAATGAGCTTAACATGACTACAGAAAAAACAAACCAAACCAAACCACAAAAAACCCGTGTGTCTGTACCTTATCAAGATTTTCCCTTGTATCTCCTGCCGTTTGTCTTTTCTCTTCCTCCAGTTTTGACTCCAGTTTCTCTACTTTCTGTGTCAGGTTCTGGATTTCCTCACTAGGGTTGGAAAAGCAAAGATATTTATAGCTAGAAGTTTTCTGGTTTTGCTGCTTTGAAAATACTAAACCTATTTCATAACACTTGATTGCTTTGGGCTTTTTTTTTTTTTTAAGGCCAAAATTGGAAATTTTTCAGGATAACAATACCTGTTCTCATAGTAACAGACATGTAACATCAATCCTCAAGATGTGACAGCACAGACTTATGTTAAAATTAAGAAGTCTCAAGGTTACAGTGTTACCCTTAATACTATTAATAATGCCTCTAAATCTGTTACAGTTTCATATTTGTCAGTCAAACTCCTTTCTTACAAAACAAGTATGAAGTCACCTTTTTTTGACACCCTCGCACAGGATTATTACTCACAGTTGTACAGAATACACGGAGCAATTGGAATGACACATTGCCAGTGGTCTGGGAGCACAGGCTGAGGTAAAGATACCACAACTTTTCTTTAGAGAAAACATCTCTGAGCGCTACACAGCAGCTTTTTCCATTTATCTTATTAATTTCTATTATAATATAATTCTTATTTTTACTCTACTACTTAGTCTTCCTCTTCCTCTAAAATCACTCTAAAGAATTCTTCCACTAGTAACTTACTCCATCCTTCCAAAACAGTTCTGCCTAAAAGAATTCCCAGCTTCTTGCAGTTCAGATGAACTCCTATGGATTTTGAGCCACTTCAAAAGAGAATTTACTGCAGCAGCCTTTTGGTTCTGAAAGGATCTACAAACACAAGGTGTGCTACCTTAAAGTCTGTTCTTCTGTACTCTTTTCTTCCATCTTACTCTGCCACTTCTGCAGCTCCAGCTCCACTTCAGCCTTAGCCTGCAGTAACTGCTTGATATCTAATCTTCAAAGGAATAAGGACATCTAAGTGATACTAAAGGCATTCATGCTTCCACAAAGTAGTTATTTTTGTTTAAACTTACAAATAAAATGGGTTTTCTTGGATTTGTAAAGTAACTTCATGCTCAGTTTTTCCTTTTAAACAAAACAAAACACAAGCACACATTGTTCAGAAGCAAAGGCCTCCTCACACGCTCTCCCTGTGCATCTTTGTTCAGAAGTGACACAGGACAAACCATGTTGAAAGAAACCCACAAAGTTTTACAGCACAATACTTATAAGAAGTGCTGCATAAACAGACACAGAACCCTTTAAAGGATTTTCACTGTGGTTGGCAGAAAAATAATCCTTGAAGAACGTGTGAGAAACAAGCAGAAATTCTCATTTTCCATCCTCTGACCTTTTTTTTCTGCAATATAATTTTACAAAGCCAGTAGGATTGGAAGAACCATTTGAAATAAAAGCTGAAGGGACCCTCAAAATTAATTTTCTTGCTGAAAATGCGAAGTACTTATTACATAACTTCATAGCACGATCAGAAATAATAATTCACACCTACAAAAGAACAACATCCCAGACAAGAGTCACACTTACTCCTTAGTGAGCAGGAGATTTTGAAGTGCCTTCCTGTCACTCTTCAGTTTCTTCACTTCCTTTTGGAGACGATGACATTCCTCAACATGGTCTATATGGTGGGAGGCTGGATGATCCAGGTCTACAGAAGGTGAAGATGACACAGCAGGTAACTGTGATGAATCACTATCTGCTGGTGACACCCTGGTGCTCTCCATGGCACACACTTTCTAAGCAGGATAAATTTACATGGAAAACACAAAAGGAAAAAAAAAAAGGGAGGGGGAAAATTCAAATTTACTATAAAAAGATTTTAGTTAGGCTGTGAGAAAAGATCAAATGAAAGTTAATTCTAAAATGTGCACCTACATATGACAAATATGATCACAGAAAACAGGAAGGGCACATGCTACAGACATAAGTTTACATGGATGAGGCAGAATGCACAGAGCTGATACACTGAAGGGTGACATGCCAAAGGGACAAGCCAGTGGTTCAAGCCAGTGGTTCTACATTTTCTGCTCCAAGACAGGTAAGGCCACATAATAATGGCCAATAATGCCGTGACCACTTACTTTTTCCAGTTCCGAAATGCGCCTCACCAGCCTCTGTCTGCTCCACTCACTGTAATCTAAATACAATAACAGAGCTTTAAACGTGTGGATACATCAGGGGGTCAACATTGTTCTCACTTTTTGAAACTTCTGTGCATACAGAAAGACCACCTGAAGACCTCTGAATGCCAACTTTAAATATGTACCAATGGAAAAAGGAGAATGGGCTTAAAATATGCGACTTCTAAACCAATTGGCTCAGAAGTCGATATAAACCATTCACATTCGTGTTTTCAACAATTAAAAAACAGTTTTTCAGTGAAACACAAAATTCTCTAATGATTCCAGTTCAGAATTCTCAGGGATAATAACAGAGGAAATGCAGGTCTGACTGGAGCAACACATCCAGAAGTCAGGGAGAGACTCCTGTGAGAAAGTTCTCATTCCAACCTCTGCCACTCCCAAATCTTCACCTCTGTAATAACTCGCTTATTTCTACCACTGCAGGGCCCCCAAACTTCTTTCAGCTGGATCTAAATCCCTTGTCCCCACCTTCATCAACTTTTCAGCACATACTTTTTGTTTTGCTGGGAGGAGGAGAAGTGCTCAGAACGTGATCCAGATCTTCCTTCAGCCTCCGATTCTCAGCCTGCAACTCTTTGATGTTCCTGGACAATCTCAGGACAGCTGCATTCAGTGCCTTGAGTCGCTTCTGGGTATCCCTGCCCTCTGTACTTGGAAAAGGGGTCAAAACCAGAGAGTTAACTTTAAAGCAGAGAGCAAAGAACCAGCATTAAAAAGAGTGGAGCAGCCTCGCTATCCAAGTCAGCTGGCTAAGTTGATTGTCTCAGCTCCCCCCAGCAGCGTTTCTCAACATCTTTTACTTTGGACCTAGTTTTGGACAAATGCCACTGCCAGTGACAATCACAGAACAGTTTGTGAAGGAATCTGCATCCCATTCACTGGAATAATTACAAGGTAAAGCAGGAGAAAGCCTAAGTTGGCATATCAGAGTGAGAAGCTGAACTGGATCTCCTTTTTAGAAATTAAAAGGAAATAAAGACATAAAACAAAAAGCAAGGCTGTGCAGATGTCATGGATGACTATTCACACAGCTGTCCCAGGCAGGGGGAAAAAAAGAGTGAAAACCAAAACACAACACACCACCAAAACCAGGCAGTGACAGAAATGATAGAAATCATAACCATACCACTGAGTGACATTATTTTAGGTTCATCAAAACCTAAATTAAAGAATTGCAGACCATTTTGAGGACTTGAAAGGCTGCCTAGTTTCCAGTTACAATTGGATTCTACAGCTTCACATATAAATAATCACACTTCAGCATTTACAATGAAAAACAGGAGCCAAATGCCATTCACTTCAGCCAGAAATAATGTAGACAAGCATCATGAAAGAAACACTCTCCTACAATACTTTTTATGTGCCAGAGCCCTGACCTTCAACATCATTTATTATTTCAGTGCTCAACCTCTCAAGCAGAGACTGACAGTCACCTAATGGAGAGAGACTGCCCTGACCATTGCTTTTTGAAGCTGTGAACAAATGAGGACAAGGAAGAGACCTGATGACTCATTTTCACCTGTAAATAAATTAGGTGTGATGGCTCACAGCCTCCAGAGGCTGGTCACTGCATGCCTGAGCCAAAAGAGAGAATTATTTTTTTAAAAAACAGTGACAGAACAAATTGCAGCTTTCAAGCCACAAGCAACAGTGAATTAGGGAAACACAAGCAGTAAAAATAATGACCCTAAAGAGTTCTCATATGTTTCTATCAATCTACATAATCACACCCAACATTAAGACAGTTGCCTGTACTTAACATGAGGAGGTCAAGCATATTTTGAAGTGGTGGGGTAATGATTTTTCCTATTCCCATCTGACACTCTTACCCTCTTCTGAGCTTGGACAACACACACTTGCATCGATGCTTTTAGATCTTCTCTCTTCCTGGGGCTTTGTCTTCCGCCTTTGTGCTTTGACTTTTATTGCTTCTATAGACTGCCCACCCTCACCACCACTGACACACCCACACACCAGTGACAAGCACAAGTTTCTCTGACAGGGACTTACTAATCTGTCTGTTTGTACTAAACAAAAATAATGTTTACTCCAAAAACCCTTTCTTTGCAGCACACACTCTCAGAGCAAGATGCAGAACTGACTCAAGAGTAAAATGCCAAACATCCAGTGAGGTTTTGTTTCAATCACCAGTGATGCCAGAATACGTGTGATTATGAGGGAAGATGAATTTTATTTAACAGAGATAAATTCTCAGAGCTTTCACGTACTTCTAAAATAGCTCTAGTATTTTTCCACATCCCCAAAATGATCTATCTACAAGAAAAAAAAAAAAAAAAACGTGACTGAGACATATGCCAAGGCTGTGAAGCCAAGCAAATTAGTATCCAAAAGCAAATCCAGCAATCTAAATGATAAACTGTTCCCCTGTAGTAGTTTTCCATCAGCTAAAGTAGAACATGAGTGATGTATCAAACACATACGTGCAAACATTTGCCTCAAAAGAATTAAACATACTTTTTCCTCATAGTCTCAGACTTTGCCAGGAGGAGCTGGAGGCGATGAACCTGTGAAATACAGATTCCATTAAGGAGCATTAGCAATGTCAGCTTCCACAGCACAGATTTATTCACTAGGTGAAAATCAGAACAAGTAGTAGGAGAGGGACCTGTCAGACCTACCTCTTCATAGTAGGTTTCCATAGCTAACCTCACTTCTTCCAAATTATTGGTCTTCGTGTCTGCCTGGAATTCACTGAAAACAGAATAATACAAAAAAATAATCCAGTCAGACCAGCAAAGACACTGCAATAGCTATTGGTTCACAATTTCTGGGTGGGTGGTTTATAATTGCTAATACATTCTTGGAGTTTATTAAAATGTCTTAAGGAATTTAAGAACACAAAGGCAAAATAACATGGATTTCCAATTCTCTTTATTAGCTCATCCAATTCAAGTCTCCACCCCCTGCCTCCACAAAGTCATACTTAATAGTGTTGTCTTTCTCCTTGCACTGCTGCTCAAGCTTGAGAATCTTCTGCTTTAATCCCCTGACCACCTACAGAAAGAATGAAACACTCATGAGTCCTCGAATAATCCATCTCTTCTCATAAATTCTATTCCTCTATAACCTTGCCCTGCCTTCATAAATTGTACCTAACAAAACATACTTATTCCTACACACTTGACCACTTGGAGATCTATATGTATATCATACATATCTGCTACCTTGTGAAAAAGACAATGAAATTATCTAATGAAAAGATCTGGTGAAATCAGACCCCTAATTTGTGTTTGTTGGTAACATCACCGGCTTAAGAATATTTATACACAATCGTAAAATAAAAACAACTTTGCCCATTACCTTGCTATATTCAAAGCAGCAAATAACAGGGAGAATATTCCCTAAACAGACTCAAGACAATGACAAAGAAAGCTCCCTAAAATTATGTTAATTCTAGATCTTTGTTACTGGTTGGCAAAGCACCAGTACTTCACCTGACTACAGAGATAAAGGCTTCACAATTCCCTAACTGCTTATTTTTTCTCCACTTTGTTTTATTTTTAGTAGTGTTTCAACTTGGCAAGAGGAAAGAGGAAAAATGAAAGCAGAAAGTAATGAAGAAACCATTACCCATCCATTATCACTCTTCTTTTCTGACAAAGCTCGTGCCAGCTCAGAGCCCTGAAAAACAAGACAGAGAAAGCAAGTGACCAACCCTGCTACTTTATTCCACTGCTGGCTCTTCCCACAGAATTTTCCAACCTACTCATCTTCACAGACCAAATTTTGAAGTCCCTATGCTCATTATTCAATATTAGCACATTTATTGTAGCTCTGCACACAGAAAGTGACAGCCACGAGAAATTCAGAGGGATTCAAGTTTAAGTTTAACCACAAACTCTTCTCAGCCTTGTGGGTCTGACAATAAGGCTGCTCTTTTGCTTCCTGGTCAGGTCCCAGGACTGCATGCACTGGTCAGCCTGCAAGAGGTTAACTCCCTTCTACTCTCTGGCAAAATAATCAGAAAGGGGGTCCCTAAAGAAACAGCATTTTCCTTTTACCTTCAGAAATTAGAGGTATTTTTGCTACATGAACTTATCTGCATAATCTTCCTTGGAGCTGAGCTGAGATACACAAAACAGAAATCCCTTCACCCCAACCAGCCACCTCTGATATTCAAACTCATCATTCCCAGGAGTCAACATGGAACAGACTTGCACTCTCGTGGCCCACTTCTATCCCCCCAAGAAACAATCACCCTGGAAGGATCCAACAGTTGTTCAATCTGTTTGTCCTTCCTACTGTTCTCCTGTTCCAGCCGACGGAGCTTCGTTTTCATTCGATCTCCCTCATTTTTCTGAGCTTGTATTGTCTAAGAGAAGGGAGAAAAATTGAAAGCACATTTCAGGAATAGGAACACACATTTTGATGTCAGTAACAATCCAATGACGATGGTGACAACAAAGCAAAAGAGAAAAAAACTCAACAAACCAACAACAAAAATACCATCACTGGGTAATGGACAGGAAGGTGAGGGGAAAAAAATAGGAGGTGGGGGCAAAGAAACGAAAGGCAATGAACCTTTTCAGCATCCAAATAGAGCCATGGCTGGGGCTCAGCACTGGGTACACTTCAAGGCTTCCACATCCAGCACTCAGGAGCATCTACCACACCATGAGAACAATGAAACTGCCTCAGTCTGACACAAGTGTTAGTTAAGCCTTACATTAGGAATGCAAAAAATATGGTGGATGTCCCAGTTGTGGAAACCAAAGTATTCTGGAGCAGTAGGGCCTGGGCACCTGCAGGTGGATGAAGCAAGACTGTGATTTTTTTCTGTATAAGAGAGACTGTACCTTCTTCAGTTCTATAATTTCATCATACATATCTTCTTTTTCTTTGTAGTCAGGAGTTCCAGGAATGTAGCCTACAGAAAGGGGTATGTAAAATAAGTAGATCCAAAAGAGGTATTTTTAACTCATCAGAAACCTTACAGTTAAATATCTAGAACAGCACCAAATTGGAAGCTAGGGTGTTGGTTTTTTTTCCCAAGAAGAAGAAAAATCAGTAAGGAAATTAATGTTAGAAATGGAGGTGAAATTGAAGTGTTACTGCATGAAACTTCTGCCAGATTTTACAGCCAATTTCTCCTAATTACTTCTCCCTGGTGCTATATTAAAATATCTATCTCAAGAAAGATACGAAGTCCACAGAAGACTGAAGTCTTCTCATCCCAACAAATTTATTATTTACAAAAGTCTTCTACGAGGTGTCCAGAATCCCCTTTTCTCTTTATGCTTAACATGTGAAAATCTATTAACTTTAAAAGTTGCCAGAATTTGTGTATTACCAGTAAAAGTATAGGTGTCATTTTAAATGGAAGTGGAATTTTTAAGTTCACAGTTCTCCTTTAAGAAAAGCAGCATTAAAGTTTGCTCTTCTCATAGAACTCATTTCATTTTAATGCCACAACCACATGATAAAACACTTTCTAGAGAAGAAGTAAAAGGAGTCAATTACATAGAATTTCAGGCAAGCAGATGGTTTCTATCAATGGTTCCTAAACTATGTTTTGCAAAGTCACAATAAATTGTCTACAGCTGTCCCATTGAACCATATTATACTTGCAACATTTTCAGCTGCAAATGCATGGCAATTTGCAAAAGTTCTGAAAGCTAACAGTGATTCATTGCTCAAAAAAAAATTGGAAACCCCTGCCTTAACCAATTTAGAAATCTCAAAAAGTATCCCACGGATCTTATTTTGACACATATATTTTAATTAACTGAAACGGCTCTTGCTTTCCTAAAGCGAAGATCTTAAGCAATGTGTGTTTTTACAGAGGAAAAATATCGTTAACTTTTATCTACCACACCACTGCAGAGTTTACCATTACTGGAAGAACGAGAATGTTTTGGCTTCTTCATTCCTAGAGCTTCCTTCAAATAATCCGGAGTGCTACTGGAAATGTTGGTTCGCATATGCCCCATGTCAACATCTGATTTCAGAGGATGGCTCGTTCCTGCCAACAAAAATGGAACAAAAATGCAAAAATCAGGGCTAATTGTGAATTAAATTTGTGGATTTATTCTGAGCAAACTCAACATAGAAAGCTCCAGATGCTGTTATCTATTCCCTCTATAAATTCCAACGCTCCAGATCAGATAATTTCAACCACCCAAATAAATAATAGTGAAACGACTTCCTATGCAACCTTTAATCAAATACAACTCTATTTTCTAAGAATTTACATGCTAAGCCGTCCACAACACACAATTTTATCCACATATGCAGATCTAATTTCCACACTATTACCTTGTTTCAGCGATCCCAGCCACAGCTGCCTTGGGTTTTTTACAGCTGCACTCTCCGAACACGCACTGCCCGTTCCCTGCAGAGATCTCCAAGCTGCAGCTTTTTTGGGATACAGTTGTGTGCTAGAGCTGTAGGGAGACTCTAGAGCAAAAGAAAACATCTCATTGTTGCCTTAAGGTCACCAAAATTCTTGCTGTCTTGTGCTTCAAAGTTCTCAGACACAGTCCTATTACTTATAAATTAGAATCTAACAGTGTACTTATAGAGGGTAACGGGACACTCACCTAAAAAAAACAGTAAAAACACTATATAGAAAAATAGAAATCTAAAAAATGAAAGAGGCATAGTGACAGTAGTATGATTGAACACATGTGGAAATTTTCACATGTACATTTTGGATAGGCATCCTTAAGACACCTGCACATCGAAATTAATGTTGTTAATAACAACACTTCAAGGTAAGATCTTCTTTGAAACATTCACTGGAAGCCTAAAAGAACAGTTAAATGGAAAAGTATAGCAAGAAACAAACTCTAGGAAAGAAAAGAACAAACCCCAAATTAAAACTGTAGATCTTATAATACCATTGTACTTCTAAGGTTATGCGAAAAAAGAAAACCACCAACAAACTCAACAAATGAAACAGAGAACTGCTAAATCCACACACACTGATAACTACTGGGTGATAGGAAGCTCCAGTAATTCTAGATTGAAAATATCAGCATTTCTCCAAAACTACAACAGGAAAAAGAAAATTCAGAATATTTGCCAATAGAATGAATAACATGATAAAAAAGTATCTTATGCTGGAGAATCAATAACTACAACTATTCCATGAACCTCAGTATTTAGCCTATACAAGTCAAACTTGACACGTTACAGAACAAATCTCAAATAGGTGTCCTCTTCACACAGCAGTGAATAATTCTGAAGAGAATAACAAGATGTTGTCTCAAGTAAATACTTCAGTTCCTGTGAAGAGCAGAAGACAAAATTTTGCAACACTTACTTGGTGACTTTGGAGGCTTGTGAAAAATCTTCTTCTTTAACTTCTGAAAGAGAAACACATTTTTACGATTGAAAATATTCAACTCTTCAGATTTCTGCATATAATCTCAAAATTGGCTCCTTTTTCTATGCATATCTTTTATTCTAATAAGACAAAATCTTGTCTAGAGAAAAGAAAAATAGTAGCATTGAGTATATGCAGATTTGGCCACATCAACAGTCACCATGAAGGTGGTGCCCACTGAAGTTTGATGCCACAGATAAACAATCGACATGAAAACTCACCATTTCTGTGTCAGACTCACAGGTTATCACAGACAGGCTGTCATCTCCCTGGGAAAGACACAGGAACTGTGACATCTGCTGCTAAACAACTGGTTATAATACACATCCAGAAAACTTTATATCATTTACTATCACAGCGAAGTGGGAGCGCAATAAATTCAAACAGTAAGTGTTGTCACCAGATCCTCTATTTCTCTTCCATTTCATTGCTCAAAAGCCAGATGGGTGAGATAGGAGTTTTCAATTCCTCCTGATAAAAAAAAGCCATTTGTCAAAAGCACTTAAGTTGCACAGAGATGGTTGTTGCAAAACCCAGCATCCCTTGCTGTAACACAAATGGTCTTGTGATGTTGTCACATCAGTCATGAGCCATCACAGAACGGTTTGGGTCGGAAGGGACCTTAAAGATCATCGAATTCCAGCTCCCCTGCCATGGGCAGGGACACCTTCCACCTGAGTCACAGAGACTTGTGCACTGCAGTGCACAGCTGAACCTTCAGCTGGTTCTGCTTGAATTTCTCCACCAGTTGAGCTGCAACTCATCCATCTGTTCCCTTCCCCTCGTGTTTGTCCTACCCTTGCCATGCTGTGGGATGGTTCAGTTCCCATATTCAGCTGGAGAAGGGATCAGGATGAGGGAAAAAATCCTCAGACCAAGGAAGATGACAAGTTTCTGCTTCTCAAATGTAACCATAGCAAGGGAAATTTCCACTTTGCTCCCAAGTTACCTGGATGCATTCTGCCCTCACAAAGACCATTTCCACTTGCTCCATAGCACTCACAGCACCATTCTTTGGGCAGATGCTGATCTGTGTCTGTCAGAGGCAGGGGAGGGGGACTGAAGTGTTTTTCAGAACCCTGGCTGGTAGAACAGGAACAAGGATTGACCACAGAGCAGGTAAAACAGATTTCTGTTCTCACTGAGGGGAGACAGGTCTGTATCTGACACACCACACCACAGAGTTTTTAATTTCCTGAGGTGATGCTCCTTCCAGCACACTCATTATTTTTGTTATTTTAAGGCCACTCACTCTGAAATATCTTTCTCCCCAGCTGCAGCTATCACACTTGGAATCAGAGAACGTGGAAGGCGCTCAGCCCTGATAAATGGTAAACAACAAAACGTTCACCAGGACACAAACGTGCAACAACAAACCCACCCCTGCCCTTGGAAACCTCCACAGCCCCTTTGCTCCTGCAAAACTGGCCCAACCAGAGCCACCCACGACAGGCAACAGGAGAACGTGGGGGCTCCCAAAGGGGCTAAAAATCTCCATCTGGCTGCTGAGGGGGTGCAACGAACGCCAACACAGAACCACGGAATCAGCTGGGTTGGAAAAGATCTCTGAGATCACCCAGCCCAACCTGTGACCAAACACCACTGTGTCAACCAGACCAGGGCACCCAGTGCCACGTCCAGTCTCTCCTTAAACACCTCCAAGGACGGTGACTCCACCACCTCCCTGGGCGGCCCATTCCAACGTCTGATCACCCTTTTCTGAGAAGGAATTCTTCCTAATGGGGAACCTAAACTTGTCCCAGCGCAGTTTGAGACGACGCCACCCCCGTGCCGTGCCAGGGAGACAGAGGCAGGACCCAAGAGTCCTGCGGGCAGGACATGGGCCAAGCCATCCTCCTCCCATTCACTGGGGGGATTCCACTGCTTTGTCCCGGCCCCGTGGGAGCGCTTCGCGGGTCGGGCTCGGGCCGAGGCAGGCCTAGACCCGGGCCCTCATCCTCCTCCTCCCCGCCGCTCACTCCTTACCAGCTCCCCCTCTGCAACCGCCTCGCCGGCCCCGCGGGCCATGTCGGGAGGGCGGCGGGGAGGCCTCACGGGGCGGCGGAGCCGCGGAGACCCCCCCGGGCCGTGCCGGGGCTGGGGGCGGCCATGGCCCCGCGGCGGCACTTCCGGGTCACGGTAACCATGGCAACCGCCGCGCGCCGGGGCGAACCAGCTCCCCCTTGCGGCCCGGGGTGGCGGCGCACGCGCTCTGAACCTCGGCGCTCCTGAGGACAAGGACGCGGATCGCGAGTGACACCAAGCGGCGCCGCGGGGCGGGAACGCCGGCGGGCGGCGGGGCAGCCCCCGCCAGGGCTCGGCTCCGCTCCGCCAGCGCGCCGGGAGCTCCTGCCCGGGAGCAGCGAGACAGCTACGGGCACAGCATTACCCGGGCTGGCAACCACCGCCCGCCCGCGGGGGCCACGCCCCCCACCGGGCCTCGACCACGCCCCCCCGACCACGCCTTAGCCACGCCCCCTTTGCGACACTCGCGGTGCGGCCGCGCCGGGGTCGGTCCCGGTACCGGTCCCTGTTCCTGTCCCGATCCCTATTCCTGTCCTGGCCCTGGTTCCTGTCCCAGACGCCCCCTGGCCATGTCCGGCCCCCAGTCCTGGTTCGTGGCCCGGGCCCGCCGCCGCTTCGCCATGACCCGCGAGTGCGCCGCGCTGCTGCCCGGTGTGTGCGCCGCCCTGGCCGACCCGCGGCAGCCCGGCCTGGACGACACGTGCCTGGAGAAGCTGCTGGACTGGTTCCGCAGCCTGACCTGGTTCGGTGAGCGCCGGGGGGACGGGGAGGGCGGCGGATCGGTACCGTGGGGGAAGGTCCATCATGGAATGGTTTGGGTCGGAAGGGACCTCTGGGGATCCTCCAGTCCAGCCCCCTGCCAAGGCAGGGCCACCCAGAGTAGGTGACGCGGGGAACGCGTCCGGATGGGATTTGAATGTCTCCAGAGAGGAAGATGCCACGACCCTCTGAGGTGCTGTCCCCTCGGAGACACCTGAAAACGGTGTTTAGTAGCTGAGGCTACACCGGGGCTTGGGCCCAAGTGAGGTGATCCCAAATTCCTCAGTTCTAAAAGTTGTGAGGGATTACCTCAGCTCAGGGAATCACCTGGATGGGAGAGGACAGTCCTGGCAGTGACCTGCTGTTCTCTGGGCACCCCTAGACCCGACTGTGGAGCTGGTGCAGGACAACCCGTGTCTGACAGAGCTCATCAGCTCCGTGCTGGCCCTGCCCGAGCCCAGCCCCAGCATCCTCTCCTTCACCCTGCAGCTGGCCGGGATACTCGCAGCCTCCGAAAACCGCTTCCAGCACCTGCAGGTGAGTCATCTACCTGGGACTGTGGGATAGCTCTACCTCTGAGCAGTCACTGCGCAGCACTGTATCCCTGGGCTGGTCCTGCAGATTTGAACTGCATTAACATGTTGTTTTTGCTCTATAGTAGGTTGACAGGAAGTTTCCGATTCCCTGCAGAAACGAGGGAGCTTTATACTCTGCTTTATATCCTACTTTCTACACCAAAATATGTTTATAGTGCAAAACCCAAAAGGGAAGAGATGTGTACAAGTGCATAGAGCAGTCTAAAGGGACTGATAAGTTCCATTCCATGCAAGTTCATGTAGACCAGCTCATGATATACAGAAGTTGTCTCCACTACCCGAAAAACAAGCAGCTTTGGTATTGAACAACTCTGTTGCTTAATCTCTGAGAGAGACCTACACTGAGTTCAGGCCTGGCATTCTGAAGTTTTTCTATTTTCGTGGTACTTCAAGCAGGAGAATATTGGACAGAGCAGGCTCTCCCCTCCCCTTTAGCCCCTCTGCTCACCGTTTCCTCTGTGTTCTGCTCTGGCCTCAGCAGGAGAAGCTGCTGGGGAGGCTGTTTGGCCGGGACGGGCCGCGGGGCCGCGCGCTGTGGGAGGACGCATCGGTGCGCAGCGCTTGGGTCAGGGGAGCTCACAGCATGGTGCACCACCAGCCTGCCCTGCACTTCCTCTGCAGCGAGGGTGAGTTCTGCCAGCACTGCTGACTCGCTCCCCAGATCCTCTGTGGCCCTTCCATTCCCGTCAGGTGTTTGCTCAGATGTCAAATTCCAGTTGCTCAGATGTCAAATGAGCAAAAAGAGTCTTCATTTATGTAAGAGTTAAAATAAGCCATTTGTCAAAAGCGCCAAAGTCACTGAAAGATGGTGGGGTTTTTACTGAAGTTAGTTATGCCTTTTTTTCCCCCCAAACACTGAAGATGGTGCCCTTTTCAGAGGGCTTTTCTTGTGAAATGAAAAGCCTTCTGCATTCTTATTTGTAACTCTTACAAAAAGGTACATTTCGGTATGATTTTAGTGCAGAAAAACTAAGTAGGGGCTCGTTTATCTCTTTGTGCTTGCACACCTTTGCAGCCCCGTTGTTGTCAGGCAGGTATGTGAATTCTGCTGTGAACAGCAGCTTTAGATCCCAGGTACAGAGGAGCCTAAAAGACTGGATCGGTGTTAACATGCAGCACGTGCTGCTGTCAGTGTGATGGAAAAGTTCATGTTTTTCCTACTGGTTATGCCCAGAGATGGTACAGGCTCTTTCCCTAAATACACAGTGAGTGTGCTGTCAACTATCCTAATCATCCTGATGTTAAATAAAGTCCCCTTCAGTTCCTTAATTATTAAAACCCCAGAGGATCTGAAAACAGTTCTCTTATTTTGTTTGCTTATTGTTAAGAACTGGCTGACTTTGAATCAAGACTACAAAATAAAGGATAAGAAACCCCTCACACACCATTTAAAGCTGTGTGGTACCTGAGTTAGTCCCACGTGGTTGGAATGCAACAAGGCTCCACCTCACCATAGGAACGCCGTTGTTTTTTCCTCCAGTGACTTGTTCTGTTTTCCCACAGGAGGCATGGACGTGATCTTCGCTCTGCAAGGGGATCCCAGCCTGTTCGTGGCTTCAGCTGCCAGCCAGCTCCTGGTGCACATGCTCACCTTCTCTGTAGAGTCTGAAACATCTAAAGCTCTCAGCACAAAGGACTGTGAGTGGCCAGCGTGTGCCCAGATGATTAAAAAGCACGTGGAGGATTCCCTTCAGTCTGGCTCTGCCTCTCAAGTTGAGCAGTCACTGAAGCTGTTGACCAGTTTGTTTGGCAGTTGTTACGCTGCATGGACTGAAGTGCTTTGGTCAGACATAGCAAAGCAAATAGAATCCTTTCTGGTGGAAGAGACTGTTCAAGCACAGCACATGCTGGCAAACCTTCTGCTTAACGTGGCACGGTAAAGATCTTCTGGCACCTTGGATCCCATGGTGAGATGTATCTGTTTTCCACTGTGTAATAGGATGTATGATTTACACTTCTTTCTTCTCAGGTCCCCTGTGTTTTGTGACAACGAAGGCAGTTTTTGGGCATTAGTAACTTCTGCTCTGGAACACTTAACCCCAGTACAAGCCTGTCCTTTGGCAGTGGGACTTCTGAAGCTCTGCAAATGGTAGGACTTACTGCAATGAAATTTTTGCACTCTGCTGATGTTTCTGGACTAAGATCTCTGGCGTCTTTCCGGGAATTGTTTTTGTCGTCACTGCATTTTCTGTTACATTCTTGAATACATGAGACTGGGTGGCAAGAGTCATCCCAGTAACTAACAAACTTCAGACACTGATAGTAAGGATAATATAGTTTCAATGAACACAATTTGGCAGCCTGTCAAATCCAGTAGTCTGTTCCATTTTCCCTTTCACAAAAACCCTGGCTACTGAAAGAGCTTTCATTCTGTCTAGCAGAAGTTGGCATTTGGAGACTCTGGAGACAGTTGTAGCACAACTGAAGTTAGAAAGAACCTGTAAAAGTGATCTAGTTTAACCTCTGGCTCAGTGCAGGGCTCACTTCAAAGACAGGTCAGGTTGCTCAGGGCCTGCACCATTCAAATTTCAAATATCCCCAGGGCTGAGGATTCCACAGCTTCTCTGGGCAACCTGTTCCAGTTTCATTTCACTATTAGAAGTATTTTCTGTGTACCCAGTTGGACTCTGCCTTGTTGCAATCTAAGATTCATGTCTCATGCACCTCTGAGAAGTCTGCGTGAGTTTACAGGCCAAGTAACACTTGTGTTTTAACATAGAAGGACACCATTCTGTTGACAAGAAACACTTCTCTCTCAGCCTTCTTCTTTCACAGGACCACACTTTCTATTTGCATAGCTTGATAAAGCTCCTTCTAAATTCTAGAGCCATTTCTCCTCTGCTTTCAGTTAGCAAGGGAAGCTTGGAAGGATTGTCATTCTGCTTCTGTTGCGCTGTCATTGCTGGCTTGTTTAAAAAGCCTGCATGAAAATCATCATCCTGTTTGGAATTTGGGGGCAGACATTTGGGAAGGAATTGAAGTGTTTGTGTTTTGGTAACTGCTGTTTCCTCCTTGAAGCCCACAAGATGTGAGGATTCAGGCACTGACTGTTCTACTTCAGCCAATGGACTGTATTTTGAGAGCAGCCTCCCAGCCTCTGGAATATGCAGGTACAGTTGTGATAGAAAAGTTAGAGGCCAGTCTGCTCGCCAGTGTTTTAAGGGTCTGGTGCAGACAAAACTGGAGGTGAAGGAGTAGAACAAGTCAAGGACAGTAGCAGTGTTTGTGATAAAGTGCAGCATCCTACTGACAGTTGCATTTGAAGGGATATTGGTGCTACATCACCTGAATATCTTGATTAATTTTGAAAATCACAGTCTTTCGTACTCATTAACAACTTGAGCTCTTCCCTTCTCTGGTCCCTTAGGTTTGCTGGATGAGTCTGTTAGTGATCCTGTCACTGTTGAAAGTCTTCTGTCCTCCAAGACATCTTGTGCTGGTCTCCTGTGCCAGACCTTGGCTCACCTGGAGAAGCTGCTGTCTTTGGTAACATTGAGAGAGGGGAAAAAAGCCTGGGGATCAAATTGGTCCTTGAAAGACAGTGTTAAGATTGGCTGCAGACTTTTGCAGTAGAGCTTAATAGAACATGGAGAGGAGTTGACAGTGAGGGCTTCCATATGTTAAAGAAATTAGCAAATATTAGCAAAAACCTTTCAAATATGAAAACAGAGCAATACTGAGGCTCATAAAGAAGGACTGCACTTAAGTTC